ATATTTATTTTATTAATAAAAAATTTATTTATATATTTTTTAGTTTTTTATTTATACTTTAATGATTAGTATATTCAAATTTAATGAAAGAATTAAAATTTTAAAATTTTAAAATTAGAGATATTAAATGACTCTATTTTAAAATATATATAACAAATAAAAATAAAAATAAAAAATACATTTCGATGGAAATAGAATATTATAAGTGGAATTCAACCTTTTAAATTATGCTATGTACAAGTATTTTAAAGTAATTCTAAACTTCTAAATTACTACAAAAATGTCTTAAATACTTAATTTAGCCTTACTTGCCAGTCTATAATTACACTCCTAAAAACTCAAGAAGCCATCATGAAAACTGAATATAGAAAATCATATTAAAAAAGAAAACTAGTTGAAGAGAGTCAGAAAAATATAAGTGCATTCATTGCATGTGTTTCGGGTTCATTCCCATGCCTTCCAACTGAAGGAAGAGAGAAGTTCAGTGACCCTTATGATTAGTTTTGGCAACAAAAAATAGTTACATAAATTACACAAGCTCTTGATCCATAAAAATTCACATGTCTTGACCAAAATAAAAAATTAACATGTGATGCATAATGTAATGTTCATTGCAAGTTGCAGCATTTGACTTGGTTGCTTTGAACTTGAATGCCTATACCAACCAAACTTGGCGGCAACCAATAGGGTTTGCTTTCATTTGACCTAAGTAAAGTGTGTCCCCATGGTGGGCCCACTTCATATTTTTCTTTCTTGATAACGATGGAGACATGCAGTGGACTGGGTCCATAATTAAGCAGATAAACTTCCATGTGTTTCTTGTTTTCAAATATTTGTATTAAAAACATAAAATAATAATAATAATAATAACTTTTTTTCTTCAATTTTTTTAATCAAAATATTTTCAAACAACAGAATCAATTAAAATTAAGGTGACATATTTGTAATTAAAAAAATAATATCAAGAAATAAAAGCACAATAAACAACTTATTATGACCCATTTAGAGCATGTCTAGGAAAATTTTTATACATGATTTCAAATTTTGATTTTAAAAAATGTTGTTTGTAAGAAAAAAAGTTAGTTGTTCAGAAAATAGTTTAATTTTGTAAGCAACTTTTTTTAAAAAGTTATTTTCTTTAATTTGATAATTTGAAGGCTGTGTTTATTTTATGTTTATTTTTTGACGACTTTTTTTTTATACAACTAACTTCCTACATAAAAGTTGGTTTCTTTTTTTTTTTTTTATCCAAATATGAATTTATAACATATTAAAAAAATTTAAACAATCATTTTTTAGCAAGTTAACCTATATAAACAAAAAAAAAAATTTCATTCACATCATCAGTGACGGATTCAAAAACTTTAGATAGTGAGAGCAATATTTATTCATATATTTGTAGTATTAAAAATTTTATGTATAAATTTTAAAAATATAAAAAGATATCATAATTATTTTTTACAAGCTTTTATATCTAGGATTACAATTAAAGATGAGAATATATATTATAATTTAATAGATTTGAATCTAACTTTTTTAAAAAATATATATCCTAAGTATGACTTATTTATCTACCATAAACATTTTTTAAATATTTGATTACAACTACAATCCTAAAGACCTACTTTATAATAATTTAACACTAATAAAAACATAAAAATAAATAAGTTAAATTTTATAAAAAATCAAGTTTAATTTATTTATGATATAAATATATTTTTAATATCTAATATATATTTTTAGATAATA